AGGCTTGGATCAATTGATCAATTGCTAGTCAGCTTATTTTTAATTTCGTTTTCATCCATCCATGACAACATCGTTACAGACTACAGTAGTTTTAAAACATGAGCACCTGAAAATTGTAAATTGTAGTTCTAAAAGCCGAAAAACTTTTTCTTTTTAATTGCTGTTTAAAGATTGATAAAAGGTTTTCTTTGACTTCAGCTCTCAGTTGTCGTTTCTTTCGTTTTATTCCAATATTTACAGCTTTTCGTCATCTGTTGAGAGACGTGGAGGCAAGCAAGTCATCAACCTTGGTCTTAGATGCCGGATAAAGGAAACAGTTTCTCATGAGATCGATCAGTTTTACTTGATTATACGTTTTACAAGAAATAACCAATGTTAAAAAATGAGATCATTTTTCAAAAAAAAATTTTCCTAGGGAATTTGAACCTAAAGACTGATTTGAAAATGTGGATACTGTACCTTTCTTTTTTTTTTTTTTTACCCTTACTCCTGCTCTGTATTTGAATCATTTTAATTGTTTTAAAATCGAAATTTAAGTGATCTTAGGAGTTGGTGTAATAATTTGGGCTGTTGCAAATGATCTTATACTGGAAATGAAGGGTGATATTCCCTTCAAACATCAAAAAATGGATTTTAAAATGAAGACATTTGCATCTGCTGTGAAACAAGGGATTCAACTGAATTATTAACAGCCTCCAATTAGGAATTATAAAATAAGTTGGCAAAATCAAGTCCATTTTTTCTCTGTTTGTCGTTTCCGCAAACGTAATGTTTATCCGCTAATCAAAAAGATGAAGTCCACTTTTAAAACGTCATCAAAACGTTATTTTAAAGATTTACCGCATACCATATTTTTCTTTTCTAATAAGAAACCTAAACTTAAAAAAGATGCTCAAATTTAAAAAAAAAAATCCAAATGGGCAACATCATTTTACAAAACAATTCAGTGATCTGGCTTCAAGAACAAAACCATGACACGCGGTTCACAAGCAGCTGCTGTATCTGTTATTGAAGAAAAAAAAAAAACACCTCAATTTGAGCGAAAATGGCTTTTATGAGGTTTCTCGGGGTTGAAGAGATCTTTAACCGAGAAGTAGGCTGAAAGAGAAGCAGAACTTAATTACTTCACAAGTATGCGGCCAGGTTGCAAATAAACCTTTAGAATAGCGTCATCCGTGGTTCAATTTTTCTGCACATGTGATGAAAACTCAAACAAACTTGTATACTTATCCATTTTGGTGATAGCAAACACGAATTTCAATCCTTCTATTGAACCAATTTATTGTTTCAAGTTCCTATGCAAGTAAAAAAGCAGAAATTTCGAAGGCGGCTGCATGGAAGAAATACTCTCGATATCATTTACCTGCAAGGGAATCAACACTGAGGGGAATCACAAAAGACCTCGTTTTGAACCGATTTGGTTTCATCAAAGATTTTCTATCTTTTTATTTCTTTTCATTTGGATTAGTTAGCTGTGATCTTAATAGGATGTGCTTGTATATCGTTCGTGCCAAGGAAAGAGTAGCAAAGAGGGCATTTCAATGCGATAAACTTATTTTGATCCAATTGGGAATGAAAGATGCATTTAAGGCCCTTCTAACCTATTCCAAATACATTTGTAAATAGTGTTTTACCCTGAAAACACAAATAAATATATATTTTTTTGCACTTAAAAGTGATTGAAATTGCTTGCGTCCTCTCGACGCAAAATTAATCTAAAAACACTACGCGCTAGTACTAGAAATACTGGACTACAACCTTGAGTTTGCGCACATAAGGGATCTAATCATCACACCATAAAATGCGTAAATAGCAGTGTTGTCACCCTCTCGAGATGCCGCCTATTTTGTCTCGATTAGGGCAAAATTTAAGCCTAACGATAAAGATAAAGTTGCCTTTTCAAGTTTATAAAAAAGATGAGAGGCATTTCTTAAGGGAATCGTAGGCTTTTCTAGTTGATGACTTACAGTGAGAACTGAGAACGAAATTGGGAGTTACTGACAATATGATTAAAAAAATCGAATCCAAATGGAATCGACGGGGAGAACGTTAAAAATTTCCTTCATTTTTTAGAAAAATGTAACATCAGCTTTTTGTTTTTTTCAGATTTCAAACCTAGCCATTATTTTTTGATATTGCATGGCTACTCTCAAGTTACTTTTTGTATCTTCATAGCCCTGTATAAGATCTACTTTGCTTGCATAGTCATCGGCCGAGCAAGATTCGATCCCTGTTATCAGGCCTGGTGTCAGATAACCTGCTACTTTGAGGTATTTCGCCTTCTTTAGTGCAGAAACTCTGCGTGTCAAATAGACCTTAACAAACAGTATCAAATGATTCAAATTATAGCTTAAAGTCAGGTTCAGTTTTTCACATATGTTTATTTCCCGTTGTGTCAGACTACGTAAAAGCTGTATTGCCCTTGAGCGGACCCGCAAGAGCAAACAATAATAAAAATTTGGATTTCGATCAGTTCAGCTGACATTAAGCAATTGTTGGATGACATTGAGCATGATATCATGAATGATCAGAATCGAGGACTGGCTTTGAGAAAACATGATATCATGCAAAAACTGGATTCAATAATGGTTTTATTATACACTTTTTGAAACAGTGCGCAAAATAAAACGTACGCTCCTCTCTGAGTTTGCTAGCGGTTAAGCACACTATACAAGGGATTTTTACTCTAACCAAACGTAGAACTAGACATGATAAATGCAATATCTGCAGCAGATATTGGCTTATCATGTCAATTTCACATGCTATCGTGCACTGACGGAATTCTCTCTACCAATCAGAATTTTTATATAATTCATTAACGCACCTGCATCAGCCAACGACATCTCATAAGTTCGTGCAGCACACGAAATTCGAATTCAAATCCAATAGACAGTTAATCATAATGAAAACTTTACCTTCATCAACACATGTTACACGTTTTTCGACAGTTCTTCTTTGCCCACTGTTGGTAATGGCAATAAAATTTTTGACAAGGCGCGTGGTAAGAGTCTTTGCAACCACCTCCTGAAATAATAATAATAATAATAATAATAATAATAATAATAATAATAATAAACATATGAAAATAATTTATGTTAGGCCGATAATCTCACCCATACACTTCACTATCATAAAAAGTCCAATACCATCCTAATATGGGTTTTGATGAAAAGTCTGAGTGACCACGCTCCGAAGAGGAGCTAAAAAAATCCCTGCTTCTATAGGCCGCCTTATTGCTCGTTCGATATCGCCTATGAAAGTCTGAGTACAGACTAAACGTTCTGTTGGCGATATTATCTATTGAATTCTACTCTCATTACAAACATTCGAAATTAACAAGTTGGCTGCTGCTCTTACTTCGCAACAATAGAAAAGTACTGTTTCTATCTAACAACGAAAATTTCCTTGTATTAGAAGTGGTGTTTGAATAGAAGGCAAATTACAGGTATAATATCAACCGATATTCCTTAATTTTAGCCAAGGCATAGCACGTCCCTTGACGCTTTAAAAACCTGTGCGCGTATGCCAACATTTCTGAAGGTATGAGATGGGAAAAATCAGATCACGTGGAGCGTTTAGACCAATAGCGTGCTGGGAAAAATATTTTGATGGATAACAAGAGAAGTTATTCACCTCCACCACCGCCTCCACCCCCTCCACCTCCTCCTCCCCCACCTCCGCCTCCACCTCCTCCTCCCCCACCTCCACCTCCTTGACACTCCTTCTTGTAAAGGAGGTCCATTTGCCTTGCGTCTATCGAGCTCAATCCCCGACGCTGACCAAGTGTGATCTGAAAATATAACAATACGCTACATCTCAGAAGTTGTGGTACAAAGAACACACTGGCGTTTGAGTAAGAAGTTTGACATTCCTCACAGTGGAGTGAAGGAAAAAAAAGTTACTTTCGGCGGGGAGTCAATCCATAGCCAGTTCCATTAGCCGGAGAGATGCCCACGCGCTCCCTGAGCAACGTAGACCGTTGGCGATCTGGGCAGTTCTCAGGTCTGTATGTAAACATCGTGACATCTGAATGCCTGTTTCACTAATTTGCTCAAGTGAGCGATATTTCAAAAAAGCCTTTTAACAAATCACTGCTATACATACCCCTGGCCTCTTGGACACGATTGTAGGTTTTCCGTTCTTTGTGAAGGCTGTGCTCTGGTAATGCATCACGCTCCCATAGTCATATGCAGTACCCAAGGAATCGATGGTTCCACGGCCATACTTTTGGAAATTAAACTTGTTCGCTATAGGACATGCATGGAATCATAAGAAAACGACTGGCAGAAATGATTAACTACAAAAAGAAATCTTACGTTAGGCAAGAAGAGAGCGTTGAGTTGTTTTAGTGCGATCATTATCATTACCATTAAGCGTTCATTATTTCGAAGAATTTAGCCAGTATTGGGCTCATTCTTTTGAAGATTGGTTTGGTCAAATTCCCCACCCCTTGTCAAATACCCGTGGGTTGCTCAGGCGGGGCGGGGGAAAGGGTGGAGGGAGATACCGTGAAGTCTTGAATTGATCGGCACATAATTATTATCATTTCAACATTATTATCATTGTAATAATATGATGTCATCATCATCATCTTCATCATCATTATTGAGGTCTTTAAGTTATGTTGAATTAATTTAAGTGTTACTAACCTTGAATGATGTTGTCCCACATTATTGTGACGTAGTTATCCCTGTCAGGGCGAGATTGTTCGTGGAAAAATCCCAAAGCGTGACCTGCAAGACAGGAAAAAGGTCGAAT